ATCTACCCACCAACACCACCACCATCACCACCACCATCACCAACACCACCCCACGACGGCACAGCTGGTTGGCGTTGCCATTGTGCGGGCGGGCCTGCCGCTGGAGAAGGTTCTGCGCGACATGGTGCGGGACATTGCTGTGGGTCAGCTCCTCATCCAGACAAACCCTTCCTCGGGCCAGCCAGAGGTTGGTGTGTGTGTGTGTGTGTCTGTGTGTGTCTGTGTGTGTCTGTGGTGGTGTGTGTGTGTGTGTGTGTGTGTGTGTGTGTGTGTGTGTGTGTGTGTGTGTGTGTGTGTGTGTGTGTGTGTGTGTCTGTCTGCGTGTGTGTGACCTCGTGTGAGCCGCCTTTGTGCCGTTCCGTGCACGATGTGGCGCGGTGATGCCAACGTCCATTCTCATCACGCTCGCACTCACCCACTCACCCACTCACCCACTCACTCACTCACTCACCCACACCCCCTTCCGCGCGCTTTTGTAGTTCTTCCACCAATCGCTGCCGAAGCAAATTCACAAGAGTACAGTCCTCCTCCTCGACGCGAGCATCGCAACAGGGCAAGCAGGTGCGTCAACGGCACAAAAACAGAAGCTGAGTCTGCGTGATTTACATGCTTTCTGTCGTTGTCGCATGTTGAGCAGCTGAACAGATGTTTCTCACCCACGCCCCTTTTTTGCTCCACCCCCACTTTGGCGCAGCCATCATGGCCATTCGGGTGCTACTGGACCACGGCGTGGCGGAGGAAAACATTGTACTGGTGACGTTGCTTGCAAGCAAGATGGGCGTGTGCTCCGTGGCGTACGCCTACCCAAAAGTCACCATCGTTGCCGCCAACCTCGACACCGACCTGGATGATGACTTGCACATCCTTCCTGGCTTTGGAAACTTTGGTGACCGCTTCTATGGCACCACAGCCATCAAGGGCACGTCTCCAAAGTGACGCACACGCTCGCTTTTGCTGCTGTTGCGAAGCTTTGTCTTGCGTGCTCTTTATGTTCTCTGTGTGTGTGTGTGTGTTTATGCTCTGTGTGTGTGCCACTTTCGCGCCAATTGATGATTGTTTGATGCATGCATGTATGTGTGTTGCTGGCAATGTGGGGTGGCTGGTGTTGTGTGGCTTGGGTTGAGGTGGGTGATGACAATTGAATGACAACAACACAGAGTGACAGAGGAATGGGAGCAAGCACGCGGCGATGCGATACAAAAAAAACACTGGTGTGCATGGAAGGATTTCAACCCGTGCATGCTGTGTTTTGGTATTTGGTGCCTGCAAGCAAGCAAGAAGCAGCACAGAATGGAGCAAGCATTTTCCCTGTGCGCCTCGCACTCCTTCTTCGTCTTGGTTTTGCTGTCCTGTGAAGACCACGACCACGCTACCAGCACGACGCTACCACGACGGCTGAGTGGTGGGAACACTGGAGTTGATGCGCGACGACTACGACCATCTGCTGCTAGCAAGAGCGATGCAGCGGTCTGCTGTGGTGGTGGGCCTCGTGGCCTGCTGCTTCCTTTTTCTCCTCACCCCGTGCCACGGTGCGTGGTGTGTGTGTGTGTGTGTGTGTGTGTGTGTGTGTGTGTGTGTGTGTGTGTGTGTGTGTGTCTGTCTGTCTGTCTGTGTGTGTCTGTGTGTGTCTGTGTGTCTGTCTGTGTGTGTCTGTGTCTGTCGGTCTGTCTCTTGTCTGTCTGTCTGTATTGACTGTCTTTGCCTCTCCAAGGTTGTTCTTGACCGTGTCTTCTTGCAAGGGTTGTATCGCCACCGCAACAACTCACATGCATTGGTGTCACCATTTCACACGCACACGCACAAACACACATACACACAATCATACAAACACATACACACACACATACACACATACATACATACATACATACATACATACATACATACATACATACATACATACATACATACATACATACATACATACATACATCCATCCATCCATCCATCCATCCATCCATACGTACATACATACATACATACATACATACATACATACACACGTCTATCGACGCTCCAGGCGGGGAGATCAGCATTTCGGTGGATCAAGTCATCTTCACCAATTATGTCGGCAACAGTTCCCCACTGACAACGGTGCGGATCCAGTTGCAAGTGATAGGCCACAATGAACAGGTCCAGTTCCCCTCGAAAAACACCAACAGCGATGTCTGGAACAACCAGCAGTGGCGCTCCTTCTCTGCAGACGACTTTGATGCAACGGTGCGCATGGTCCTGTGTTGCGCTGTTTGGTGAGCTGCGTTCAGGATGCGACATTCCAGGTGGGGTTGCAGCTTCTTCTCACATGTCCTCACCCATGTGTTCTTTTTCTTCCCGTTTCGTTGTCAGGGCCAAGTCATTGTGACCTACTCATACGACGCAAACCCCGATCAAGTGAGGAACACTCGCATATCCAGTCTGTACGCTTGCTTGATTTCCATGATACATGCATGGAACGGTTGTCGTCCACGTGAAGATTGCACTCACACGACAAGTATCGCGGCATTGGATGGCATTGGGTGACAGGTGTATGAGATGGAAACAGTGTCGTTCAATCTCCAAAATGGCTGCCAAAACAAACGGAAGGACATGCACGCCTCAAGAATGTACGAATCAGAATACAACGGCGCAGTTTTTACATCCCAGATCGACTTCGACTTCCGCCTGAGATTCCGCCCGAGTACGTGAACATTGCAATGGGTGTTGACGGAACTGACATTTGCGCAGCAGTACACTCGCACGTTCTCAAATCCACTTTGCTCTCTGACACCATTCACCAATTTACACAACAAAATGCCTTCTCCCCTCCCCTGCAGCCAACCTTTGTAATGCAAACGCCTGTAAGGACTTTGGCACGTGCACATGCATCAGCGATCGCGAAGTCAGGTATGTTGTGCTGTGCACTCATTCTGTGTGTGCTTGTTGTGTGCTTGTGTAGTGCTGTGATGCGTGTTTGCTACTGGTGGCGGTTGCCTGGTTGCCTGGTTGCCACGCTCACTCACGATACGTTACCATGTGTGCGCGTGGTTTTGTGTGTGCGCGTGGTTTTGTGTGTGTGTGTGTGTGTATATAGGTGTGACTGCGTGGGAGAGGTGTTTGAGGACAGTTGTCCCTCCGTCAGCAGTAGCCCCACCAGCAACCCGTGCAACCGAAACGTGTGCGGCAGCACCTGCCACTGCATCACCACAGGTAGTGCGCATGTGTATACGTGTGTGTGTGTGTGTGTGTGTGTGTGGTGTGTGCGTAACAACAGCTTGCCTTTGGTGCGTTGTTGTGCTTGACTGGCACCGACTGTGCATGAGGTATCACCTCTTTCTCACAGCTACCTGTGTGGTCTTGGTGCTTGTACATGTGTGTCATGTCGTTTCAGACGACAACTATGACTGCCTTGCGCTGCCGTTGTGTCCCGACCCGTGTACGCAGAACAACGGCGGCTGTGGGGATAATTCCATGTGCAGTGTGGCCTCTGCTCGCGTGCACTGCGAGTGCGTGGCTGGATACATGTCCATGAGTGGCGACGGCGATGACTGCCAGGTGTGATGTACACATGCGCACAGGAGCACATGCTCTTGTTTATGCCTTGTCAACACGGTTGCGTGTGGTGCATAGGGAACGCTTGAAGTGGTCCGTTCCTGTCTGAGGTTGATGTCATCCATACCACTGCTGACATAGGGTGTAGGGGTGTACTCACTTGCTTGCTTGCATGCATTGGCAAATTATTGCTCGTGTTCAAAACGTTGTTAACCACCATCAACCACCACCAACACACACACACACATGCCTGCAGCTCATCACCTCTACTTCGACGTCGTCTTCCTCAACCACGTCCACAAGCACAAGCACAAGCACAAGCACCTCCACATCAACGTCAACATCAACGTCAACATCAACATCAACGAGCACTTCCACAAGCACCACCACGAGCACTTCCACCTCAACCTCCACAAGCACTTCGACAAGCACCTCCACTTCAACATCAACGTCAACATCAACGTCAACGTCTACAAGCACAAGCACGAGTACATCAACAACATCATCAACCTCTACGTCTACATCCACATCCACATCCACATCCACATCCACAAGCTCCTCCACATCCACATCAACATCCACATCCACATCCACAAGCTCGTCCACCTCCACATCAACATCCAACGCCACGACAACTCAAGCGGCAGCGCAAACGACAGCTGCGTCAGCGTCGTCATCATCTTCTTCTGCCTCCATCACCACCATTGGCATTGCTGCTGGTGCGGCCGGTGGTGCGCTGCTGCTTGTTGTCCTCGTGCTGCTGCTGGTGAGGCGACGACGGCGCAAGCGTTTCCAGCAACACGGGGCTGGTGCCTTTGAAGAGGTGGCCACCGTCCCGCCCATTCTCAATCCGCTCTTTGCACCCCCTAACAAGAGCAGCGAATGCAGCGGGCCCAATGCTGGCGCGTGCCTGCAGGCAAGGGAAGCGTGGACAAAGACATCAGGTGCGCAGCAGGCGAGTCGGCTCCCACGTGCTGGTGGCAGCAGCCACAACAAGAATGCGGCACCCCACAATGAGATGCTGAAGCAGCGAGGCAACATTGCAGCCAAGTCGCCACCACCGCCAGTTGTTACCAGCGACACCAGCAGCAACGACACTAATGTCGACGAGGTGCCTGATTATGGCACCCCGCTGTGGTTGCCGAGCGCCTCGTCAGCCGGCGCTGGCGGCGTTGTGCCGCAGGAAAAGCGCATGCCAAGCGCAGCTGTGAAGCCGCAGCGCGGCGTACAGCAAGCACGGCCGCGCAAACACAAGCAGCCGCCAAAGCGGTGGGAGATCCAGCGGAAACCCTCCCCACAACAGCAGGAACATGGGCGTGATGGCAACGAAGAGCAACGCCAGCAGCAGCAGAACCCAGCAAAACCGCCCGCGCGGAAGCAGCAGCGACGGGGGCTGGCAGCCGTGACGGCGGCAGGATTGCGGGCACGAGCACGCGCGGGGCTTCCGTCAAGCGGCAGTTTGATACTCGACGATGTGCTCGCCACAGCGGAGTTGCATGGGCTGTCCTCATCCGAGACAGATGACAGCTCACTGCCGCATGTCGCTTCAAGCACGGAAGCGGAGCTGCCCACGTATGATCGCTTGGATGCGTGCACGACTGCACATGCACCGACCGATCAGCCTCAGCAAGTGCCGCGAGAAAGGCCGCCAAGGAGCAGCCAACACCAGCGCAAGCGACAGCAGGGCGATCAACAGCGGGGTCGCAGGCCTGGGGCGCACCAACAGCAGCAGTCAGATTCGAAGCAGCCAAGGCAGCAGCAGCGGCACAAGCAGCACAAGCAGCAGCAGCACAAGCAGGGACGACGTCCACGACAACAGCGCAAGCAACAGCACACGCACAATCCGAGTCAGCCTCGCCCTCAACAGCATGCGAGCGCGCAGAAACCAAAGCGCCTCCAAGCAAGCGAACAGCAACAACAGCAAGGGTACGATGTTCTGTCGGGGCCGCACCAGCGTGCCCGCATGCAGGCTGATGAGCATGATGTGCACACGTATCATCACCTTGGGGTGAGAGCAGAGGAGGCTGCGATGATTGCCGCCATCCAAGCAGCTAATCAAGACCCGCAGCAACAGGCAGACTACGATGTGTTGGCTCGCCCACAACGGCGAGAGGATGCAACTCCTGTGGACGTTGGTGGCCACAGTGACACGACCTATGATCGTCTTGATGCAGCCCTGAGCAACAGCCATGTTGGCAGCGACACATACGACCGGCTGGAAGGCGTTTCCACGACGCCAATCCGAAACAGCAGCAGCAGCAGCAGCAGCAATAACAGAGGTGGTGGTAATGGTGGCGTGGATTATGATCGCCTTGATCGCGTGGCAGAGCAGCCGGAATACGATGTGCTGGCGGGACCACATCACCGCGCGACGCGAGGAGGAGGGAGTTCCGCAGGTTACGCGACAGAGCCCAGCACCAGCATCACGACCACCACCACTACCGCCAGCACCAGCAACATGTACGACCGTCTTGATGCAGCGCGCGCTGCTGACGTTGCGGAGTATGATGTCCTGTCTGAACCGCACAGCCGCGTGCCCATGTTCAGGCGACAGCAACAGCCTGCAGGCAAACATGACAAGCGTGATGGCGGCACCACATCGGATAACGTGTACAGCCACCTCACAGACCACGAGACGTCCACGTCCATTTGAATTGTGCCTGTGTGTGTGTTGTGTTGTTTCTGTGTTTGTGTGTGTGTGTGCGTGTGTGTGTTGTGTGTGTGTGTGTGTGTTGTGTGTGTGTGTGTGTTGTGTGTGTGTGTGTGTTGTGTGGCTGTGTGGCTATGTGTGTTGTACTTGGTGTCACCATTTCTTCAATAGGAAGCTGCGTTAACCTGATGCTTTGCCACCGCTGTTTTGATCCCCCTAGGTGCCTCGATTACATTCGTGTTTGTTTTACAGCTGTTCTTAGCTTGCCTTGCCGAAGCCTCTTCGGGCGCGTTGACACTAAACTTAACACAACACAACAATAGAAGAAGCAAAGACACTTGCAGACATGGCAACGACAGCAGCTCGTGGAAAAGGGTTGCTGGTGTCTGTGCGTGTCTGTGGGTGTGTTGTGACCCGTACATCCATTCGTGTTCCTTCGCAGTTTCACAATGCTAACGGTGTATTGGGCTCATGCTCACAAGGGTCCAGGAGACATAACACGTCACGTTGGCCTATTTACCTGCCCCTGCAAAAACGGGATGCATGCTTACTTGGTGGCGACAAAGCCACAGCAGACACAGGCACACACACACACACACACAGATACACATGCACACACGCACACACACACAGACTCACACACACGGACACACACACACACACAGAGAGAGAGAGAGAGTGTGTGTGTGTGTGTGCGTGTGTGTGTGTGTGTGTGTGTGTGTGTGACAGACACACACGCCCTTTAAGCCTTTACTCAACTTAAATGGAGGAAGAGGATGACTCGTGGTTTGTAGCGAGGTGGTTGTACACGTTGATGTCGCTGTCTGCGGTCAGGACAGGCGGGCGCTGATGCGGTTCCGCCAACGCCTCGTAGTCTGGTGTCAAGTCGACGGTTGGCGCAAGGTGGTTGTACACCGGATTAGGTGCCACCACTACTGGCTCGTGCTGCTGTTGCTGTTGCTGCTGGCGGTGGTGTTGACGCGGCGAATGCACGCCGTTGTGGTCGCCAGCATGTTGCGGGTGATGTGCACGCGGCGCCATCACCACGTACGCCTGTTGCTGCTGCGCTTGATGGTGTGTTGTTTGCGGCCGGCGTGGCGGACGGGGCGGTGGCAATGGCATGCCGCCCAAGGTCACGTCATCGTAGTCGCACTCATCGTCAACATCCGTGCTGCCAGTAGCGAAAGGTTGATGTGAAGAGCCTCCATGGGCAGCAGGCGGCAGCCACAACGGCGCGGTGTTGGAAGCGGCCGCGTGCCCGTGTGCACGGAGAACAGCATCGCCGTGTCCTTTGTCACCCCTGACGTCGTCGTCATCGCTGTTGGCGCCGTTCATCCACGCACCTCGAGCACCGTGGTACATACTGCTGTTACCCTCCGCGTCATCGTGGCGGAAAGACTCCGCGCGGGGCACGAACAGGGGGTTGACAACAGGCGCCACAGTCGCAGCGTGGCCGACAAGGCCAGAGGCATCTGCTGCGCCTGCCGCTGTTGCTGGTGTTGGCTTGCGCCGTGTTCGTTTGACGAGAAATAGCGTGAGGGTCACGAGCACAGCGACACCTCCAATCACGCCCAATGCAACACCGACGGTGGTTGTGGTGGAGCCAGCGCTTGAGGAAGCAGCAGAAGGCGGCGGTGCGCTCATGGTTGTTGATGGTGGCGCTGAGTTTGAGCTCGGCATGATGCGGGAGGAATTTGTTGAAGCTGTTGTCGCCGTTGTTGTTGCTGTTGAGGAGGACGAAGAGGAGGATGTTGACGTGGATGATGACGTCGATGTGCTTGTGCTGGTGCTTGTGGAGGTTGAAGTTGAGGTTGATGTTGATGTTGAGGTTGAGGTTGAGGTTGAGGTTGAGGTTGAACTTGTACTTGTACTTGAGGTGGACGTTGACGTAGATGACGACGAACTCGTCGAGGATGCGGTGGTGATGAGCTGCCAGTACGCGGCACACAGAAAGCAACCAATGCAGTGAATGATTGACACATGCGTGGCATGTCACAAAGACCTTGAAAGCACGCAGGCAGATGTAGGCGTGTGAACACACATCCATACACACATAATAAACACACCAAACACACATGCATGCACACGTAAGGGCACAAGCCTGTACCTTGCAGTCTTTGCTATCCCCGTTGGAAGAGAAGTATCCCTCCATGCACGTACACGTGACCTGGCCTGAGTCCACCGTGCAGATGGAATGCTCGCCGCATCTGTCATTATTCTGCAAGCAAGGGTCTCGGCATTGTGCTATGGCCTCGCACCTGTATCCTTTGTCTGCACCACACAGCCGAATGTGAGGATGTACAGATGTACCTGAGACGCATGGAAGAGGCAGTGCAGATTAAAGGCAAAACAAACCGACAGCCATACATTCTGTGCACAGACACATGTGTGTGTGGCAAGGTTGTGTGAAAGCCACGCACCTTCAGTGATGCACAGGCAGCCATCGTCGCAGGGACTGTCTGCGCATGCGGTTGAGCTTTGATCTTTGTTCAAGCAACTTGGGTATATTTCACGAGATTGGCAATGGCATCTGCAATTCATACAGCACATGGTAGCGCAACAAGGGACAGGACATCAACGCTGGTGAGTATTGAGGGGCAACCGCGCGAAGGGGCCCGAGCAGCAACATTGCCACAGCATGGTGGTGGTGAGTAGCTTCTCGACGTACTCTGCTTTTCGATCGCCCTTGCATTCGCAGGAACTGGGGAAGGGACTGCAGGCGCCTTCCTCGCACAAGTTGACTGGAGCAGTGAGAAGAGAGCACGACGCAACGTGAACAGGGGGAGAGAGAGAGTGTGTGTGTGCATGAGTGTGTGTGTGTGTGCGCGCACACGCTTCTGAACAGCGATGCAAGGTCTTGTCATGCAACACAGTGCTGCTTGGGACTGACTTGGAGAATATCGTATGACGTAGAAGACTTTAGCTGTGCTGGAAGAAACGGTTCTTGACTCCTTTCCCTCAGCCACCTGTTGACTGCAGTTGCCCTTCGTGAAATGGAAGCGTTTCGAGCCGAGATGCCCTTTCTGTGCCTGTGCGTGGATGCCGGTGCACATGTACAAGCGCAAGCAAGGGAGCTCATGATCGCGTGAGCAAGAAGGAAGCTACTGGTATTACAAGGGGGATCCGCTCTAGAAGGAACACGCAAGCAAGCAAGCACAAGGAGCACACACCCAGTTCCAAACCATACACACCTGCCTCTGCCAAAGGCTCCAATCGCTGTCCTTGATGAAAACGTGAATTCTCGGCTAGCGCCATATCACACACAAGAGAACCGTTACATGGCAGTTGATCAATGCAGTGTAAGTTGGTGCTTGGGACAATGGCAGGTGTACTCTCAGGTTGAAGAGCGAGAGCAGGAGTGCGCATTGGAATCCCCACTCACGCTGGCATCGAAGTCCGTTTCCGGGAATGTCTGCCACTCGTATGTTCCAGCGTTGCTTCTCCGAAAAGTTAGGCGACCACCATATCCAAGAACTTTAAACTGCACTTGTTGTGGCGGGCGTTTTGTAGACCCCATTTTGAGCGTCGCTTTGATGAGCCGAATGCTGATGGTCCCCGCTGCAACAACGGACAGCAACGATGAAAGCAACGATGGTTGATGTGAGCGCACGAACAACAGGACATGCAGACATTCTGTCAGTCGAGCAGGCGAGCGAAGCCCCCTCCCCCCACTCCAGCACTCCCACCCCTCCAGCAACGGCGCACCTTGGCACGTGGGAAGAAGAAGGCATGCTGCCAGTGCGAGGAGGCACACGCACACTAAGGCTCTTGGTCGTCGCATCCTCACAAATGCTTCCGTGTCTCCTCCTTCTGTCCTTCTGTCCTTCTGTCCGCAGGACACAAAAGCCCGTGTGCTTTCGTGTGTGCTTCTGCCTTCAAGCAAGTCGCTCCTCGTGCGTGCCTTTTTTTTTTCCGTTTTGCCTGCGATTATTTTGTGCAATTATTTTTTGTTCAGCGTGTTTGGGAAATGGGGCAACGCAGACAAGTCGAATGTGGAGGAGCCAAGGGCAAGAAGGGCAAGAAGGGCAGCATGCGCTTGCTGTGGCTGCTGCTGACGGGTGTCCTTGTCTCGCTCAGCGGTCTCTGCGAAGGTGTGCATGAGTGTGTGAGTGTGTGTGTGTGTGTGTGTGTGTGTGTGTGAGTGTGTATGAGTATGCGTGCGTGTGTGAGTATGCGCGCGCGTGTGTGTGAGTATGCTTTGTGTCTGTCACAACCTGCGTTTCAACTCACACATCCTCATCTCCCATGCCACATGTCGCAACCCCTCCCCCTCCTTTGCCCTCCCTTGCGCCCCCCCCCCCCCAATTACCAGGCGGACGCGTGAGCCTGCGGGTGGAAAAGGTCGAGCACAGGCTCGCGTTGAATTTGCAGTTCGCCGAAGCGAGGACCGCACGCTTGGAGTTCGAAATCCAGGGACGCTCTGAAACCCTCCAGTTTCCTTCTGAACAACAAAACCCTGGAACGTGGGGTGTGCTATGGCAATCCTTTGTGGCAGACGACTTTGAACGCAACGTGCGGCGCCCATGTTTTCTGTGTCAAAGTGCCATGCCATGCGACTACATTTGTGCTTCCGAGAAGGCTGAAAGGCTGAAGTGAGCGCATGTGCGGTGTATTATCAGTGTCATCATGTTTGAAGGTGTGTGCTCGCTTGCTCACATCCGTGTCCGCCTTGTCCATTTGTCCTGGCACAGGAGAAGCTGGAACTCGACGTCCTTTATTTTGGGGTAAGCCCAGCCACTTCACGTGTGTGTGTGTGTGTGTGTGTGTGTGTGTGTGTGTGTGTGTGTGTGTGTGTGTGTGTGTGTGTGTGTGTATGTGTGTGTGTGTGTGTGCACCGTTGGGGAGTGGGATTCCAACTCGATCCTCCACGCCAGCACGCCAACACACGTGCTCAACTGGTATTGTGCTTGCTTTTCCTTGCCTCTTACGACAGACATACCGAGCCGATAACACGCGGCTGGACTTTCCTCGAAGCTGTGACCCGCAGCAGGAGACAGCTGTTACACACACCCAAAGTCGCAGAACCCGAATCACCTTCACTGTCGAATACACGCCAAGTGAGTAACAAGCCTCATGCCATCACTTTGAGCTTATATTTAGGGCCTTCAATCCTTGCTTGTGCCCAGTCCCGTCCGTCTGTCCTCAAACGCGCGAATCCTTCTCCTTTTGAGAGTCGTTTTGTCTCACCCGCACTGCACGGCCACTGCCATTGTTCATCATGTCAGTCAATCTCTGCAACAGCAGCGCCTGTAACGGCGGCGCATGCACGTGCCAGGGCGACCGGGACTTCTTGTGAGTTTCACGCTGCGTTCTGCATGTGCGAGCGTGTGCATGCGCGAGTGAATGAGTGAGTGAGTGAGTGAGTGAGTGAGTGAGTGAGTGAGTGAGTGAGTGAGTGTGGGTGCATGTTGGTGTGCGCGTTTGTGGTTGTGCAATCAAGGAAGCAAGGAGCATAACCAACACAGGCCCTCAACCACCGTAGTTCTAACACACACACACACACACACACACACACACACACACACACACACACACACACACACACACACACACACACACACACACACACACACACACACACACACACACGCACACACACACGCACGCACACACACTTCATTATGCGCTGCTGCGCCCTTTGCACGTGTGTGTATTACAGGTGCGACTGTGCCTATGGTGCTGCTTTTGAGGATGCACAGTGCTACAGTGGCGACTTTCAGTGCTCAGGCCCATCGTGCCCCAGCACCAGTCCTTGCGAAGCATTGTCAAATCCTTGCAACAATGGCTGCCACTGCATTGCTACAGGTGAGCAATGGTCGATTCGCACACGTGTGTTGTGTGTGCTGTGCGTGTGCGTTTGTGCCTGTGTGCTTGTGCTTCTGTGAGCATTCCTGTGTATGTGTGTGTGTGTGTGTGTTTGCCCGTGCACAGCTCTGTACCCGCGTGCATCCTAAATCCCACCCGTTCTTCCTTTCTCTCTCGTCTGCGCTGTCAGCACTGCACGCGACTACCCTTTCCATCTCCACCCCGCCTTGCATGGTCTTTCCCTCTGCCGCTCGCTCATGGCTGGTGCACATGCCACGTGCCTTCGTGTCTGTGTTCAGATGTGGATGCCTTCGACTGCGTGCAGCTGAAAACTTGCCCGTCCAGCCCCTGTACGATAGACAATGGCGGGTGTGGCGCACATTCCACCTGCACAGCGATTAGCAAAGATCACGTCATGTGCACATGTATGCAGGGCTACGTGTCACAGAACGGAGACGGCACCGACTGCGTTGAAATCACAACAACAACAACAACAACAACAACAACAACAACAACAACAACTACAACTACAACTACAACAACAACAACAACAACTACTACAACAACTACAACAACAACAACAACAACAACAACTACAACAACAACTACAACAACAACAACTACAACAACTACAACAACAACTACAACAACAACAACTACAACAACAACTACAACAACCACGAGTGTGACGATGACTACCACTGCCACGACGACGACGACGATGACAACAACAACAACAACATTATCGTCCTCATCATCCGCAACAACAACAACTACAACAACCATGACAGTGACTGCAAGTGCTACCACTGCGACTGTCACGCCACGACCACCACGACCCTCGCGATTACCACCTTCGTTATCCACAAGCACGACGACCTCCTTTGCCGCCGTCATGCCCGGTGCAACAACCGTCTCGCCATCCACCTCCGCTGCGTCCACCACGACGATTGGCGTTGCGGCGGGCGCTGTGGGCGGTGTCATACTGCTGGTTGCAGTCATGCTGTTGTTAGTACGACGGAGACGGCGCGGAGGGAACCCACACGCAGATGGTAAGAAGGCAGCAGATGCACACGTGGCGGCGCCGTACGACGGTGATGACGCTGCTGTCTGCGACCGCATTGGCCCCGTGGTGAATCCTGCCTTCATGCTCAACGACACGGGCCGTAACGGGCACACCACTGACAACAGCAACACCAACACCAACAGCAACAACAGCAACAACAACAGTAGCATGGGCGCCAGTACCAGCGATCGCAATGCGCCTGCACGCCACCACCCGCGGGACGCGTGGGGCGACAGTGGCGTTAGTGGTGCCGGTGAAGCCGGGCTGTTGCACGGTGGCCGGCGCCCGGACAGCAGCAACAGCAACAGCAACAGCAACAGCGAAGCGTTTGGGGAGAGTGGGGCGCCACTGTGGTTACCTCATGGTGATACTGGTGTTGGAAATGGCACCACCCGCCATCATCGTGGTGGCGGCCGTGCTGTATCGCCATCTCACGCGTACGAGAACATGGATGCGGTCATGATGGGTAACAGCACAGACCACCAACCGCAACAGCCGTTCGTGGCACCTACCTACGATCGGCTGGACACGTGCACGACACACCAGCAGCAGCAGCAGCAGCAGCATCAACAGCAGCAACAGCAGCATCATTGGGGTGGCTCACAAGAGTTTGGTGATGAGGCAGAGTACGATGTGCTGTCGGGACCACACCAGCGCGCGCCTACCGGTGCTCGTGGCGGGAAGCACGTCTACCACCACCTCGGCATGAGGCCAACCGAGGCAGCGATGATTGCTGACATTCAAGCAGCCAGTACGCATCACCATCAACAGCAGCAACAGCAGCAACAGCCCGAGTACAGCGTGCTGTCTGGTCCTCACTCCCGTCCATTTGCCAGCGACGTTGGAGCGTCCTATGATCACCTCGATCGCTCCAGCGAACAGCCCGAGTACAGCGTGCTGTCTGGTCCTCACCAGCGCGCACTTGCTCCCGGCTCTAGCAGCACACGGTCGCAGCGAGATAGCAGCGCTGCACCGAGCCAGTCCTTCCCGGGCAATACGTACGACCAACTCCACCGCACGTGGGCGACAGCAGCAGGACTGCCGCCGCCGCCAGAATACGCGATGCCGCTTGACCCGCACGATTCAGCGCACGTGGGCGGGGTCTCCATTGATGCCATCTACAGCTCAGTGCAGGACGATGTGGTGGCTTAGATGGCTCGACTGTTGGGCACGCTGTTGCAGTCTTAAGAGTCTTCCCACATGCAGCTAGTTGTTCTGGTCCTTGTATTGTTCCTCGGTTCGTTGGTCGTTGCAACCTGCATTGCCATTTTGCTCTCTCGTTCGTTTTACACTTCCAAGCAAGGCTTAGGTTTTTGTTATCACATCACCAATCACGCAGAGCAACAAGGCGACAGCCTTGCGCCGTGTGTTACTTGCTCTTGTTCTCACTTGCCCTCAAATAATTGTTCTTCCATTCGCTGAGATGTGGCACAAACGTCCAGTAAACAAGCAAAAAAGCAAGCAAGACAGACAGCAACACGAGCAAGGGACTGAAATCAGTACAGACTGAATTAAGGGGTTCCTCGCATTTTCGCTGACACACAAGACGCAAGAAGCCAACAAGACAAGTGAGCGACAGCAGCGGATATGGGGAAGAAGCCGTTCAGTGCGAAGCAGAAGAAGGCGCAGCTCAAGGCGCGCCGGGAACGCAGGCAGGCGCGGCAAGGTAAGGCAACGGCGTGTGTGTATGTGTGCGTGTATGTGTGTGTGTGTGTGTGTCTGTCTGTGTATGTATGTATGTGTTCTGCGTGTGTTTGCGTGTGTGTGTTTGTGTGTTTGTGTGTATCTGTGTTGCAGCTCACGCAAGCCCCGCACACGACGTGGACGCTGACGTTGTGATTGCTGTGGGGAAATGGTTGTGGCTGCACACACATACACACACACACACACACACACACATTCACACTGGCAGAGCGCAGGCTGAATGAGGAGGAAGGCGAGGACCGACAGACACGACAACTCGAAAAGGTACACTTTGCGTGCGTGTGCAGGTGCATGCTTACAGTCACTTCATTCGTCTGTTATCGTGTCCTATCGCTTCTCCTTCTCATCACTCTTTCACTTCCCTTCTCATCACCCCTTTCTCATCGCCCTTTGTGACCGTTTCTCATCATCCTTCACTGCCTTCCTTGTCAAATCTGTATCACACCATCCATGCTTAGGGCGAGGAAAAGACGGGCGCCCTGGAGATTGACATTGACGCCATCATCAAAGCCAACCATGAAGTCAACATGGACCCACAGCAAGACACCAAACGGTGAGTGAACAACTTGCACTGAGAATGCTGTCGCGTGGTCGCTACCAGTTTATGAGAGAGTTGCATGACCGTGACATGCTGCTCATGCTTGCGTGTTACTTTATGTGGCCGACAGGTTTGCGCTTCGCTTTGCCAAAGAGTCACGCGAGGAGCTGGAACGCCGCAAGCGCCTCTCTCGCCAGCCCTTGAAGATGCTGCCAAAGGTGTGTGCGTGTGCATGTGTGTGTGTACGTGTACGTGTGTGTGCGTGTGTGTGCGTGTGCGTGTGTGTGTGCGTGAATGTGTGCCTGTGTTTGTGTCTGTGCCTGTGTTTGTGTCTGTGCCGGTGTTTCTGTGTGTGTCTGTTCCGGTGTTTGTGTCTGGTGCTTGCGTCTTCTATTTCAAGCCATGACATTGGTGTGAGTTGCCGTTGCAGTCAAGTCGCATCTCGTCAAGTTCACCTTGCCCACCACGTTTGTTCGCGCCATCCTTGCCAATCTTAGGAGGAAGGCCTGGAGATGGACGTGGACACCTTCTACCGCCCCGGGTCAGCGCTCGACATGCCAAAGCGCCCGGCATGGAACTACAACATGTCCAAGGTGAGCCACGTGGTGTTTTTTGCTCGCTGCTTGTGCACCCACGCACGCATTGAGTGTGTCACCGCTACGTCCATGCTTGCTGTCAGCATGCATGCATCACCCAATACCCCCACTCACTCACGTGTGTGCGAGTGTGTCTGTGTGCGTGCATTTGCCGGTGTTTAGGCCAAGGTCCTTGCGCAGGAGGAAGAAGCGTTTCGCAAGTACCTCCAGCGGGTATGTGACAGCTGCCCAGTTCACGATTCTAGCTCAAGTTTCCCCTACAGCCCACGTCTTTCAAAACACCACACACACACACGCACACGCGCGCGCGCATACACACGCACACACACCCCGCCCCACACACATACATACATGTGCACATACACATATCGCGCTTGCTCTGCTGCCACGTGGGAGCGGCAGAATGTTCATCGTGAGTCACGTATCCCTACTCTTCACGCGTACAGATCAAGGAGGAGTTTGCCGACCAGGAGTTGTCGTACTTTGAGCTCAACTTGGAGGTGCGTTGCTGATGCGTCCCCCATGTACCGCCTGCCTTGCGCGCCATGTTTTGGGCAGTTGTTTCGTGCACGCCAGTGGTCACACTTCCTCTTGTGTGTGTGTGTGTGTGTGTGTGTGTGTGTGTGTGTGTGTGTGTGTGTGTGTGTGTGTGTGTGTGTGTGTGTGTGTGTGTTGTCTGACAGACGTGGCGGCAGCTCTGGCGCGTTCTCGAAATCTCCGACATTGTCTTTCTCGTCGTGGACATCAGATACGCGGTGGGTGCGTGTGCGCGCGAGTACGCGAGTGCGTGAGCGTGTTTTCTTTGTGTGTGTTCGCGTGATTTGGTTGTGCGTGTGTTTCTAGATTGTACCACTGCAGCGAACCACTGCAACGTAGTGTGTACTGCATGTCCCAATCCCAGGCCAAGTCCCTCACATACAACGGCCGCGCGTCTTCACGCTTGCGTACTGTCACCTCGTCGCAGCCCCTGCACTTTCCGCCGGCGCTGTTTGACTTTGTGGTGAAAGAGATGGGCAAGCACATTGTCCTCATCCTCAACAAGGTGAGGAATGCATTGCTCTGTCTGTTCACCACCGTGTGCGAGATGGAGATGCGAGATGCGGGCGCTTGGGAATGCCAAAGCAAGAGCACACGTGCGATCGCGTTTGCTTTCGCGAGGTCACCCGTGCTAACAACCTCACACTCTCTCACTCACTCACTCCCACACTCACACACACACAATCACTCACACACTCCCACACACTCCCACACACTCACACACACTCACACACATACACACTCACTCACACACACTCTCTCTCACTCACTCACACACACACACACATACAATCACTCACACACACACACACACACACACACACACACACACACACACACACACTCACACACACACACACACAGTGTGATTTGGTTGGCGAGCCCACGACGACGGCGTGGCGCGAATACTTCAAGACGCGCTACCCGGAGGTGCACATTGCCACATTCGCCTCGTTCAAGTCCAAGAACGAAGGGTGAGCACACGCGATGTGGGTGTGGCATAGCTGCTTGTATGGGGTGTTGAGTGGAACAAGCTTATGTGAACAGAAACCGTGTGCACCAACACACATTAACACTTGCCCCTCCCCCCTCACCATGTGTGTACACACTTCAACACACCCCACCCTCCAACTCACACCCCACCATACACATCCCCACCCCCTCCCCCCCCCCCCTCCATCGCACCAGCAACCCGGCGAGCCGCAAGAAGCATCGGCGGAAGCTTCGCATTGCGAGTGGCATGCAGCAGCTTCTGCAGATCTGGGAGGACCTGAAGCTGCCTGGCCTTGACGAGTGGCGCAGGAACGTGGACGCGCGGCTGAAGGAGGAGGAGACACGGTTGGAGCAACGGAGGGGCGGGGGCCGCTGGTTGGACGTGGACGATGACGACGATGAGGAGGATGATGATGATGATGATGATGATGATGATGATGATGATGATGATGATGATGATGATGATGATGATGATGAGGGTGGTCGTGGTGAGAAGAGTGTTGGTGGCTCGGGCAGAACAACGCGGACGCAACGCGACGGCGGTGATGGCGACGACGATGGTGCACGCCATTCGGGCAAGTTCCTGTCCGAGGACCGGTGGGCTGAGGGCGCAGCAGAGAAGCAGCGCGACCAGGACTTTGTCACGATTGGCATGGTGGGGCAGCCCAACGTGGGCAAGTCGACCATCCTCAACAGCATTGTGGGCAAGACGGTGGTGTCGACGAGTTGGACCCCCGGCCACACCAAGTACCTGCAGACGTACTTTCTCACGCCCAACATCCGGCTGTGCGACTGCCCAGGCCTCATCTTCCCATCCCTCATGGCAAAGCCACTGCAGGTTGTGTCTGGCCTGTACCCTGTGGCGCAGGTTCGCGAGCCCTTCACGCCCGTGCTGTTTCTGGCGGAGCGCGTGGACCTTGTGAAGCTTCTGCACCTCAAGCATGACCCTGATGACGACGAGCCGTGGTCTGCGTGGAGCATCTGTGAAGCATGGGCCGTTGCGCGCGGCTTTATCACCAAGCGCGTGGCGCGCCCAGACGCCTACAGGGCCGCAAACAACCTCCTCCGCCACTGCGGTTCGTGTCCCGTGTGTTTGCTCGAACATTCCATGGTTCCAAACGTGCATGTGTGTGCGCGTGTATGAGCGTGTTTGTTTGTTTGTTTGTTTGTTTGTTTGTTTGTTTGTTTATTTGTTTGTTTGTTTGTTTGTTTGTTTGTTTGTTTGTTTGTTTGTTTGTTTGTTTGTTTGGCTGTATTTGTATCATGTGTATGTGTGTGCAGCCGTGAACCATCCAACGTATTCCGTTGCTTCGCCATTCACACACTCACATGCACACACACACACACACACACACACACACACACACACACACACACACACACACACACACACTCACTCACTCACTCACGTGCACACACACATGCACACACAGTTGAGGGCCGCATTGTGGTGTCGCTGAAGCCGCCGGGCTACTTTGCCAAGTACGGCGACGCGCCACACCGCGAGCATCACGAGGGCGAAGGAAAAGGTGACACACATGTCGACACGACAGCGTGGGAGGACAGCGTCAAGCCCAAGTTTGCCCCGCTCGGTGGCGGCAAGATCAAGGTGAAGCGCATGCCACAGGCCCCACCCTCGCTCGCACACGTCAGCCGCGCTAGTGGTGATGCCGATGACGATGATGATGGCGATGGTGATGGTGGTGATGTGGCGCAGGAGACAGCGATGGATGCAGCAGCACGGAAGAACAAGAAGCGCAAGGAGAAGAAGAAGAGGGACAAGAGGAACAAAGCGAAGCAGCAGCTGGAGTTGCTCAAGCTCTCCGATGACGACGAGGAAGACGAAGACGAAGGCGAAGAGGAGGAGGAGGAGCAGGTGGTGGCAGCGCGTGGCAAGGGGAAGCAGCGTGGAGGGAAGAAGAACAAGAAACAGCAGCAACAGCAGAAGAAGAAGACCAAGGAGGAGAGTGAGGAGGAGGAAGAGGAGAGTGAGGAGGAAGAAGAAGGAGAAGCCTCTGGCCCCGCCAACCCATTTGCGCTTCTGGAAGGGCTTTGATCTCATTGCGTGTGTATGTGTGTATGTGTGTATGTGTGCATGTGTGTGCATCTGCACAGTGGATTCAGTTGTTGCGTTCGTTCATTGTGGTCTCAACGTTCAATGCAGTCGCAACATACACAATACAACCGCACAACCGGCTCGTCATCAGTTGGTGATCAAAACGAAGGAGAGGCGAAGAAACAGGATTTACAACATACTACACAACATGCAACATTCTGCCCGTTTACATTCACTCGTCCACTCATTCAAACCACAACATACACCACACACCGCACTCAGTCCCCCCCCCCACCTCTCTCTCGTCTCTGTGCGCTAATAACCGGCAGCGTGTCCGCCTTTTCGCTTATCGGACGCCGGATAGATGATCCCATCCGTGTCAACGTAGATGGCCTGCACACACCAACATTCAACATTCAACACGGTGAGAGCACATGTCAGTTGGAGGGAGGGTTGTGATCGTACTTGATCTAGCGTGTAGATGCCCTGACCACAACCGCTACGACGATGATAGATTGAAGCAGTCACATTGTGTCTGTCCTCCTCCTCCTCCTTTCACAATAGCTCGCTTTGAAGAAGCTGACCTGTGTAACGGCGTTGCTGTCCACCTGTACCCAATTGTGCCCGCGAGCCTCCAAAGCGACACGAATTTTGTTGGGAAACGCCCTCTCCCCGGCAACAACGTCCGGCAGCAGCTGAAGTGTCCACGCATTGTTTTGAGGGGAATTGAGCAAAGGTTTGATGTGAGAGATGTACATGGAGCAGTTGCAGCGCATAGGCAAGCAACGCAACAAGGAGATCAAGGGGGTGGGGTGGGGACTGAAGACAAGGAAACTTGCAGGCAGAAAAGTACACTGACGCACGCACACACACATACACACACACACACACACACACACACACACACACACACACACACACACACACACACCTGGTCGTGGACGCGTGGGCTGTCGACGGCCTGTCGTGTGAGCATGCCAAAGTTGAGCATGTTCAACAGGACCTGCGCAGTCGCCGTGGTGATCTGAAGGCGTAGCAACAAGGATGCGAAGGTCAGCGAAAAACGTAGGCAGGTGAGAGCGCAAGGCTGGTGTCTGCTAGAAGGTGCGAGGTGCAGCACATATCACATCAACAAGCTGTTGTGCGCTGGCACACGCACACACACACACATACACACACACACACACACACACACACACACAAACACACATACAGGTGCTTTGCTGCTGCCAACACTCACTTTGGTTCCGCCAGAGGCGCCCGCAACCGCCCGAACACTACCGTTCTGCAATCGTAATGGTGGTGGTGATGATGGTAGTGAGTCGAGCATGCACACGTCAGCCGGGTAACGTGCATGTACACGTGCCGTGAGCTGGCAACAGCACAGCATCGCAGCAGGACCACCGACATCAACCAAAGCAATAATCACCTTGACTGCAATGCAGGGCGCAGAGCTTGACAGCGGGCGCTTGCCGGGCCCGACGTAATTCGCTGGTGATGGCTGCACACCAAAGGCGTTGGTGACACCTGGCGTGGCAAAGTCATCCATCTACACATGGCGGTGGCGACGGCGGTGATGATGATGATGATGATGATGATGATGATGATGATGATGATGATGATGATGATGATGATGATGATGATGATGATGATGATGATGATGATGATGATGATGATGATGATGATGATGATGATGATGATGATGATGATGATGATGATGATGATGATGGATGATGATGATGATGATGATGGTGGTGGTGGTGGTGGTGGTGGTGGAGAAAGGGCAATGTTGAGTGACGGATCATCATCGAATTGGATGCATAGACATGGCTGTACCATCGCGCATGTTCGAGAACAAGCAGGCTGCAAGACCGCATCCGTAAACATTCGTGCACATCCTCCACAACAACAAACACCACCATCACCGTACACACCTCGTTGTTCATGAGGATGCCGTGTTTGGTGAGCACTTTTGATCCCCAGTAGAGATTGACGGTCGACGTGACCCCAACAGCGTTTCCTTCGCTGTCAACAACTGTGTGTGTGTGTGTGTGTGTGTGTGTGTGTGTGTGTGTGTGTGTGTGTGTGTGTGTGTGTGTGTGTGTGTGTGTGTGTGGAGCAAAGAAAGGTGTGCAGTGTGGAGCAAGTAGATGGATGGCCGGGTGGGCAGTGTGGTGAATCAAAGGTGGCAGAAAAGGAGCAAACGAGATCGACGAATGGACAAGACCATAATCGCTCGCAGATGACGCGACTGCGACTGTACCAGAGAGGTGGGTGGTGCCGGGTGTGGGCTCGATGTCGTAATCTGCACCGTAATACTTTGGATCGTGGTGTGTTCTGTTGAGCAGCAGTCGTAATTGCCAGTTGTGAGTGTCCAGTGCCGACACGCCGTTTGTCTTCATGCGTGTAGCGCATCGCACACACACACACACCCATGGTCTTCAATACGTCCACAACAAACAAACAAACAAACACACACACACACACAACGCATACACACACTCACACAAACACACACACACACAACGCATACACACACTCACACACATGCAGCCGACTTACACGTTTGTGATACGGTTGTGCCAGTGCACGCCCTGGGATCGATTGAGCATCTCCTGCTGCAACGACGTGACGCGGTCACAGAGCGTCGTGTTTGTGCACGTCTCGCCACAACACGGATCTGCAAGCTTTGTTCGCTGCGGTGATGGGACGTGGTGATGAGGATGGGAGGGGTGGCGTGAGGGTACAGCGGTGGTGGATGGAGGATGACAGGGCTTGTGCACAATACACCGTAAATCACGTACAACCACACATAAAAGTACACACACACACACACACACACAGACACAGACACAGACACACACACAGACACACACACACACACACACACACACAGACACAGACACAGACACAGACACAGACACACACAGACACACACACACACAAGACACAACCTACACCTGGGCGTATGCGAAGCGAAAGCTCTCGATGATGCGGTGCCAGGTGAGCTCGTTGGGGGTGGTGCCGGTCAGGTTGTAGTTGTCCAGGATGTTCAGAATCATCCCAAGCACGCTCCCAGAGGCAGGCTGAGGGTGGCGTGTGTGTGTGTGTGTGTGTGTGTGTGTGTGTGTGTGTGTGTGTGTGTGTGTGTGTGTGTGTGTGTGTGTGTGTGTGTGTGTGTGTGTGTGTGTGTGTGTGTGTGTGTGAACGGCGGGAGAGGGGTGGTGGTTGCGTGTTGTTTGGGTGGTTCGTGATTCGCGGTGGCAGCGGCGGTAGATTGTGGGATGCTGAGAGCCGGACAACGCAATTGCAACAGCATTCACAACACGTTCATGCACACACAACGCACACACACACACACACACACACACACACACACACACACACACAGGGCACAGGCTGTACCGCGGGTGCGAGGAAGAGGTCGAAGCCTTCGTAGTTGAATGTGAGCGCATCTCGCACCACTGGCGTGTAGTTGCGGAGATCATCCAACGTCATGATGCCAGGGACTGCATGAGGGAGGAACGAGGGAGTACATGTGTGTATGTGTTGCGTGTATGTGCGGTGTGTGTATGTGTGGTGACATGTAACTGAGTAAAATGTACGTGAACATGTTCAATCGTGTGCCCGCTGTTGCGGAGTTGGCTTTGTCTTCTCGCCACATCACAGGCGTCAATCGCTCATGAAAAGCCCCAACTCTCTCTCTGTCACACACACATACACACCAAACTCTCTCTCTCTCTCTCTGTCTCACATATCCACGGCAACACACATCCACTCTCTCTCTTTCTTCGCCATCTCACTTGAGTCATTGCTGAGTGCCTCGATAATCCCCTGTGCAATTTCTCCCTCGTAAAACACAGACGCGCCATCACGCGCAACCTACAGCACCGCAGCCAGGACGAGGGGGCAACGATGAGGGTTCAACGAAGACACCCAAATCGCCGACATTCACCACACTCACACATCACACCACATGCACTCGCACACACACACACACACACATGCACTCGCACACACACACACATGCACTCACACATCACACCACATGCACTCGCACACACACACACATGCACTCACACATCACACCACATGCACTCACACATCACACCACATGCACTCACACACATCACACCACATGCACTCACACACATCACACCACATGCACTCACACACATCACACCACATGCACTCACACATCACACCACATGCACTCACACACATACACACCTACCTTCTCGAGTGTGTCTGCGAGCTTTAGACGCTTCATGGTGTCACCTTCCTTCAGCAGGCGCCCGTTTTGCTCAAACAGGCGGCGGAGCGCCGGACGCGCACGGTCATAACTGAAGCGGCGACACCAACATCAAGATCAACATCAAGATCAACAGCAACAGCAACAGCAACAGCGTCAAGATCAACAGCAACAGCGAACGAAACAAACGCAAGCATGTCAACAGCAACATTGACACAAACGCAAGCATGTCAACAGCACCGCTTCAAGATCGACATCAACATGTCAACAACAAGGTTCGCCACAGCCAAACATGTGCGTCCTCTCGCTGTTGCTGCCCGCACCTCTGTTCAATGCTGGCTGCAATGTGTTCCGACACCTTGAAGCCGTTGCGTGCAAGCTCGACGCTTGGCATGACGAGGTCATACCAGCTGAGCCGGCCGTGCAGCTGCCACGCCTTCTCAAGCCCGCGCAATTCGCCAGGAACACCTGACGCAAGGCCGCCAACACGCGACGCGCACAACTCTTGCTCGGCTGCGTCGTGGCTCAGGCAGGCGTTGAATGCCCTGTACATGTGGCTCGTGGCGGCGGCTGGCGCCATTTCCCGGAAGTCGATGACGTGCGATGCGCCCGTGGTCCCGTTGTGCACCAGCATGAACCCGCCGCCCCTGCCCACGCCGCCGTGTTGTGTGGTGTCATGGTTTGGGTGGACGAAGGGATGAGGGGATGAGAATATGCAAGTGGGAACGTTGGTGGTACTCACAACATTGGACCAACCAACAGGGGGTTCAAATCCTCATAGCCACAAATACACACACACACACACACACACACACACACACACACACACACACACACACACACACACACACACACACACACACACACACACACACACACCCTATGCCGCTGCTCTGGCCATTCACCACGCCGAGACAGAGCGTGGTGGAGATGGCGGCGTCCACGGCGTTTCCGCCCTTTTTCAGGATGTCTCTGCCAATCTCAGAGCAGATGCCCACGTCCGCAGCAACAGCCCTGCCGTGCAGGTGTTGCAAACATACAAGTACCAAGTGTGGGTGACAGCAACTGCACGATGCATGTTTTGGTCCAACGCACTCACGCAAGTGGTAGCACCAGCACCACAAAAGCTCACACGCATGCAAAAGCACACGCACACACATCCACACACACATACACACTTCCACACCCACACACCCACACACATGCACACACACATGCCTCCACACACACACACACACACACACACACACACACACACCCGTGCTTGTAGCCGACGGACTCGTGCGCGTTGCTGTTGGCCACAATAACCGCCACCAGGACCAGTACTGTTGCCAGAAGCGTGCAAGGTGAACTTTGGCAAACCAAATGCAGCATGCAACAGAGCCAGCACTCGGCAATGGCAAACATCAAGCAGCAAAAGACAACAACAGCAGCAGCAGCAGCAGCGCGACGCCAACCACCACGATTTTCCACCATCCCCCACGCCGCGCACCTGCGCAGATAAAAGTGATGCCGTAGATGATGATGAACCGCCGTACTGTTGTGCGAGCATGCCATGGCTTTCCGACCACGTGGCCGACGCCATCTTCCTCCTCGTCCCCATCCTTTGCGTGTGCTGCTGACGGCTGCACCTCCACATCAAAGTCACTGTCTCCATCGTCAACATCATCGTCCACATGATGGTGCGGCATCAAGTTCCTCCTCGTGGAAGCTGTGCCTTCAGGCTGCATGTACTGGTCTTCCGCTTCATCGTCCTCCACACTCTCCAGCGGCTGGTACGCGTTGTTGCTCGCCATCTCGGGCGAACGTGGGCGTATTGGGAAGCAATAGTCAAGCGGGGGAGAGAGGCTGGCAAGCGATAACAACGCAAGTGGAGCTCAAGTGCACAGCAGTGCGCCTTTTGCACGTCCTTCCTTCCTTTGTTTGCGTTTGTGGCTGTGGGAGTCGTGACGAATTGCCATATCTTCAATTGATCCTCTGCAAGCCCATCACACGCAAACAAACGCAAGCAACCTGCACCGCATCCAAGAACGTTGCAGCTCACCCCGATTGTGCAGGCCCGACCTGAGGGAGCGAGGGCGATAAGAGGGAGAGAGTGTGAGCGCGTGTGAGCGTGTGTGAGCGTGTGTGGCAGGAAACCACCCGCGAGCGTGCGAGCGTGTGGGTGGTGGAACCCAAGTTGCTTGTGGCGGTTGAGGGGTCGCTTTAGATTCTCCGATCGGTTTGGTTTTTTTTTTTCTTCCCCATACCTTTGTTGCGATCTGGATTTCACGCTGTTATGGGTCAGCAAGGCTCTCAGCTGCTTCGGCGGCCTGTAAAGAAGCCTGCGAAATCAGAGGCAGCCTCGCCATCCCAGAAGCTCTCGTGAGCCGTGCACTGTGCTGTGTGTGTGTGTGTGTGTGTTGTGCTGTGTGCTGTGTTATGTATCGTGGTGTGCCCACGGCATGTGCTGCTGTGAACTCTGTGCCGTAGGTTCGTCCGATCGTGTCTGATATGTGTGCATGGATGCATGACAGGTGTGGCACATATGCCATTCAGGGATACCGCGCCACGATGGAAGATCAAGACATGTGTGAGGTAAGCAAGCAAGCGGAAGAAAGTGAGGGGAGCAGAAGAAGAGGGAAGGGGCTGTGCCATGTGTGTGTGCGTGTGTGTGTGTGCGCGCGCTATCCCAGTTGTGCGCTGTGCAGAGCTCAACAGAGGTTCTCCAACTTCCGTCTGTCTGTCTGTCTGTCTGTCTGTCTCTGTCTCACACATACACTGTCTCTCCCTCACTCCCTCACTCATACACACACACACACACTCCCTCTCCCCTCCGTCCCAGTTTGGCATCTTCCACGGCGATAAGGAAACAGGCGCCTTCTTCGTGTTTGACGGCCACGGATCTGAGGCCGCCGCACAAATTGTGAAAACGTAAGTGTTATCGTCGGAAATGGGGCACTTGCCCGTCTCGCACACACACGCACACACACACACACATACTTGTTCTCAACACCATCATCGCTCACCAACAAAACCGTCAACAACAACGCCAACGCCACCTAATACCACCGCTTCCATTGCCCGCATCGCCACCATTGACGCTGAAGGTACTTGCCCCGCGAACTCCGCAAGCGCTTGGACAAGATGTCGCCTGACAGCGAAGACACGCCGGAGTTTCCCGATCGCCTCCGCGCCGCCATCGTGGACGCATTCATCCAGACCGGTGGGTGTGCTCTGGCATGTGCTTGTGTGTCTCTGTGTGTGTTTGTCTGTCTGTCCGTTTATCTGTTTGCCTGCCTGCCTGTCTGCCTGCCTGCCTGCCTGCCTGCCTGCCTGTCTGTCTGTCTGGGTTTGCGTGCGTGTGTGTTGTTTTATTTGCCATTTGTTTGTGTGTGCATGGGGTGCACGAAGCACTTACAGCGTTGCTGACGCCGAGTTGTCGCCTCTTCTTCCCTCTGCGCACATGTGACAGATGAACTACTGCGTGAAGATCTGGGGTGGACGGAAGGCTCGGTGAGAATACATGCACACAACTGCGACCACACCTTCTTGCTGCGTTGTGTTGTGTGTGTGTGTGTGTGTGCGCGCGCGTTAACGTGGGAGAGACTGTTTGTATGTTCGCTGCGTGCAACTCATTTGCACTGATCTTGTTCTTGCATTCTCGTTCACAACCACACGTACGCTCACACACACACACACACACACACACACACACACACACACACACACACACACACACACACACACACACATGTGTGTGTGTGTATGCATGAACGCCACGTGTTTCAGATGC